GCAGTGTGCAAAGAACAGTATCCATTAACTTTTAGACTAATACCAACAGCCAGAAATAACGGTTTCTTTAAGGAACTGTGTGCCAGGACCATGTCACAAAGTCTAGCAAAACTACCCAACGTCAGTCCCCAAAGCAGCATTCCCAGCACAGCCCTGAAACTATTAATGAATGCTATTGCCCTGCTATTAAGGAATACTGTGACCACATAATGCTCCATCAAAGAGGCAAAACTAGGGGCCAAAACCCACTGTATTTCTGGCTCTATCACAAAGACAATATGGTGTAGGCTGATTTAATATGTAATTGCTTATTTAATTGCTTATTTAATATATATGCAGAGTACATCATGCGAAATGCTGGCCTGGATGAATCACAAGAGCCTCTTGCTCAGAGTAAAACAGGAGAGCGCAAAAGTGGGCTTGAAGCTCAACATCAAAAAAACTAAGATCATGGCATCCGGCCCCATCATTCCTTGGCAAATAGAAGGGGAAGTTGTGGAAGTAGTGACAGACTTCACGTTCCTGGGATCCCAGATCACCGCAGACTGTGACAGCAGCCATGAAATTAAAAGACGCCTGCTCCTTGGGAGGAAAGCGATGGCGAACCTAAGCAGCATGATAAAAAGTAGAGACATCACCCTGCCAACAAAAGTCCGCATGGTCAAAGCAATGGTATTCCCAGTAGTCATGTATGGCTGCGAGAGTTGGACTATAAGTAAGGCCGAGCGCCGAAGAATAGATTCTTTTGAACTATGGTGCTGGAGAAGACTCTTGAGAGTCCCTTGGACAGCAAGAAGATCAAATCAGTCAATCCTAAAAGAAATCAACCCTGACTGTTCCCTGGAAGGCCAGATAATGAAACTGAAGCTCAAATACTTTGGCCACCAAATGAGAAGGGAGCACTCACTGGAGAAGACCCTGATGCTGGGAAAGATTGAAGGTCAAAGAAGACGGGGACGGCAAAGGATGAGATGGTTAGACAGTGTCATCGATGCGACGAACATGAAGTTGAGCAAACTTCAGAGGACGGCGGAAGACAGGAAGGCCTGGCGGGATCTGGTCCATGGGGTCGCAAAGAGTCGGACTTGACTGTGCGACTGAACAACAACGAGGCTGAATGGTGGATTCATTTTCTCTTCAGCCGATGGCTCTAGTTAACACTTATGTAATCTTCTAACTGCCTCTTTCCTCACATTAATTCCTTTGTAAGTATATACATGAGAAATGAAGAAATTTAATAGCATACATACATTTTTATCAGCAACTGTGGATATGACTTCCCAGTTGAAAAGTGGAGCAACAGGTTTCACCGGGTTAAAAATGAGCATGCATACATCAGTCATGTTTCAACCCACAAAATCCAAACCTGCTTGTTAGTGTAGCACAGGCTGAGGCCTCTCTATGAAACAGGTAAGCATTCTGAAGCGGTGAGTAAAGAGCCTAACCCTGGAGAGGCCATTATCTTGTGGCTTTATAACCTACCCATCATTCTACTGGGTGCCTACACTTCTAAGAGCATAACATTCAGCTGTATAATAATTTCATCTTGTCCCACGTTACTTTTTTCCTGAGCATGCTGATTCTATAGATAGGCCAGTAACTGTGAAAAAGATGTCTTGTATTGGTAAAAACGTCATGAATGGCCACAAGTTTGCCCCCACTAGTGTAAGAATCCCTGGTAAAGGGAGCACTGGATCTCAAAATCATGAACAAAAATGATAAAACGTAGTACAGGGTTTTTTTTTATTGTAGCAGCTACATGGACTTTAGGGTGATATGTAAATGACAGAGATCTAACCAGAGATTTTTTGTGCTAAATACCATAATCTAATTCAGCCCATGCCCTCTCTTACCACATCCCCACTGTCATTTTCCATCCTGTGTGATGGCCTGAACAACACTGCTCCTGATGGTCACTGGCACTGCGGCTGCATGCAATCCATGATGCTTTGCCAGCAATTAAACCTTCATAGTCAGATCCATAAACCTCCTGATTCAGATCCCTGCACAACAGGGCAGCAGTCCCAACCATTGGTCCCCGCCCCCTCTTCCTTTGCTGGCACAGCAGCTCATAGCATTGGGCAGAAACTCTGAAAACAAAATGAAGCAATTCTCTTAAGAGAAGCATGTGCCTGCTGACAAGACTGAAGCCTTGACAATTCAAGTGCAGTGGCCTACAGATCCCATTGTATCAGCCAGCTGTGCTATTATAATGATGTCTAGTACAGTACCACAAAGTACAGCTGTATTCAAGGCCCTTGTACACAGGAACAGTCAGTTTGAGGAGTAAACATACTACATCTAGTCAAGAAATGGCAAAAAGCCAAGGGAATATTGCACTTACGGTATGAGCATCGTTTTTCTCTTGCGATTGTGCAATTATAATTTTGCGACATGGGGATTTTTTTCAGCAAAGATAAACTTAAGCACAGCATAAGTTGAATCACCTTTACTATCAAGTTAAATTATAGAGGGAATACCATTCCAATTGTATAATTCCATCCTTTAGTCAGTCGACTTTAAAAAACCAGCATAATATCTTGCAGCTATCTCTCCTCTGTTTGGCTGAACAGCAGCAAAACCCTCTCCATGGTTGCAGGACATGTTTGCCTTAAGAAAGCAATCATGCTTTAGGAACTCTCAAGGCTAGAACAATTCTGTCGGCTCCAGAGAGAAACCAGGAAACGTTTGCCAACTTCCTTCATTAAATTATTGTTGAGGGTAACGGTGTGTACAGTAATTTAAAAAGTGGGAAGTAAAAAGAGTAACTGCATTTATTAGGAATAAATAGACTATCCAGCCTGTTTCAATACCTAAACTATCCAGCCTGCTTAAGAGACAAACGAGAATTGACCTAACAGAAGAAAAAGAAGCAAGCCCAGGAAAGAGGTAAGGTAAAAAAAAGCCCAGTGACTACTAGACAAGACTGTACTGAATGGTGGGCAGATCTATCGACAGATTACACTATTCAGTGTTTACCAGATACAGACATTTGCTGTCAGTGTAATTAAGCAACATTTAAAAGAAAGCCTTGCCTGCTTCAAGCACTGATCCATTAATATCCTTGGTTCTTCATGACCGAGGCTTTCCAACAGTGTGGCTGTCTGCACCAATGAATTATGAACAGTTATTAGGTTGACTGACACCCCTAGTAGCCAATGGCAATCAACCATTTTTCTTTTTTTTAAATTTCTCATGCCTCTGTGCTTTAACACTGGCTTACAGGTTACAAGAATTATCTGAGCCCTAATTGTAATTTTTCCTACAGAAAGATTAAGAAAAAAAAGCATGCATTTTGCAATATATTAATGGTGACTGATTGGATTTTCCAGTGAGTACACTGACTGGACAGACACAACACTTTATGTTTTACAAAACATGTGGTGGTTTTTTTAAAAATGGAAATTAATTTCTACCTATGAAAAACCAAAGCATGAAATGATCCTGAAAGTAGGAAAATATAATGTGTGATTTGCAATGCAAGTATTTTTCATGTTCACAAATTTACATGTTAGAAATTTAGCTGCCAGATGTATCAGTTTCCTTGTGTATGCACCTGGAGAAAAGGTAAAGGTTTCCCTTGCTCGAAAGCTAGTCAAATCCAACTCTAGGGGGTGGTGATCATCTCTGTTTCCAAGCCAAAGAGCCAGCGCTGTTCAAAGACTTCTCCATGGTCATGTGGCCAGCATGACTAAACACCAAGGCACACGGAACGCTGTTACCTTCCCACAGAAGCAGTACCTATTTATCTACTTGCAATTTCTTGCTTTTGAACTGCTAACCTGGGGTAAAAAGGACACCCAAACCATTATCCACACATTAACCTTTGTGGGTCTGTTTGTTTGTTTTAAAGAATCAATTTGCAGGTCTAGAAAACTAATGTGGAAAGCAGCCCTCAGGTACTTTATAATACATCAGAAACATGGTCCCTCCTTTCCCCTGCATGCCTCTGTATGTCACTGCTTTACTACAGCAGCATATGGATAGGTGTGAACAATTTTTTTAAATTGTTTTATGGAGGCTAATGCCCAGATTTAAAAGTATTTAGAACATGCATAATCAGCAGGGAAGAGATGCTGAGTAAACATTATAGTGAGACCTCAGGTGTCTGTAAAAAAAGGGGGGAAAGTAGTAATACCACTGATTGATTTTATAAGCACGTGGCCACCAAATAAAATCAAGGGAAAACAATAGCCATTGCTAGTAGTGATACAATATCCAGCTAATCCAATGTCTTCTGACAGTCACATTACCTATGAGTAACAAGAGCACAGGGCAAGGCTAGAGAACTCTATTCCTCTTTTGCTCACTTTGAGCAGTGTAAAGTTCAGTGACATCCTGAGCACGAGGGCTCCTTGCCTTGCCTTGACCAGAACAAGAGTTAACAGGGCCACACACAAAAGAAGCACCCTGCATACATGGGTAACATTGGGGTTTAGGGTGCTCCCCACTGGGAAAAGATTAACATTAATAAAATGAACGTTACCAAGCAGAGAAGCATGAAAAAGGCAACTATCCGTTCTAGGCAAGAGAACCAAAGGCCACCTTTTACCATACACTCTGCTTGTAGTACTTCCACAAATTCGGGGGAGGGAGAAGAAATGGTGTGTATGGGTCACCACTTTCTACAGTAAAGGAACACAAAAGACTCCAGAAATAAGCAGGATAAACAGATTTTGGCTGGAAGGCTGCAGTATGGGAGAAGAGAAAGACTGGAATAGGAGTAAACGCTAAGTGCCAAGGGATTTGGGATAGGATTTTACGTGGGTGGAAGTAAAAGGGATGGGGGGGTTACTGCGCAGCGCAAGCTTTTAAGTTCGGGGGAGGGCTCCGGTCGGTCCTCATCCCACAAGCATCCGAGGAGGGCATTCTGGGACCCCGGAGAGACGTTTCCGATTCCCCTCTGGAGGCTGCCTACCCCTAACTCCGGCCAGGCGCACTGCGCAAGGCGAGCGCGCTCCTCTTTTCCTCTACGGGCTCCCGGCGAGCCCCGTCCTTACCTTTGTGCCCGCCGAAGGCCCCGTACCAGGAGAGCGAAAAGAGCGCGCAGAGGCAACCGAGCAGCAGCGTGAGGAAGGTGCCATTGCGGAGCCTCATGTCCTTCGTCTCCTCGGCGATGGCTGCGGCTGGGGAGGCCGCATGTCCCGGGCGCTACGCGGCGGCCTCAGCCTCCCGAGCCCCGGCACACCGCGCCCCTTCCAACCTTTGACAGGTGGTTGTGTGTCAGATGTAGGAGGGGTAGCATGTCTGAAGGCATCAGGGGTTCCCCGGGCCTGGAGCAGAGAGGGGGGACTGCTGAGGAAGGGAAGGGGCGGAGATGGCACCACGGTGTTAAAGGAGCCGCGCGCGCGCCTCGAGCCACATCGCTTGCCCGCCTGGGCGCCGCCAAGAACAGCCAGTGTGCAAGGACGTGCATGGCGACAGACACGTGCAAGCGGACGCGCGGGCACGCAGCAGGCGTGTGTAATGGGGGGCGAGAGGAGGCGAGGAAGAGTGGCAGCCGCTTTCTGGGAACGTGTGGCAGGAAAATATCGCGCCAAAGGAGCAGGAGCGGGTGTGGCGCCTATGGAATAGGAACCCCGAAGAATTCCAGCACCGAGTGCAGGCAGAACCTCTTCAAAAGACGGGCGATAGCAGAGAGGAGAAAGTCTCGCCTCACAGCCTGAATGCCTGTTCACACGATCTTCGGACACCTACTTACGGGCGGCTGCCAACTCCGGAATGGGAGGTTCCTGGAGATTTGGGGGCGGAGACTGGGGGTGGGGATCGTAGCGGGGCATGATGCCGCAGAGTTCGTCCTCTAAGACAACCATTTCCGCCAGGGGAACTGATCTGTGAAGTCCGGAGATCAGTTGTAATTCTGGAAGATCTCCGCGCCCACCTGGAGGTTGGCAACCCTGAAAGCGTTCTTGAAATATCCACCCACCACCTAGTTTGACTCTCAGACCTGGTTCAGGCACACATATTCTTCACTTGATGACTGTAGCATATGTATACAGTACTACAGAGAGAAATTTGGTATAATCTTAAACTCAATACTTTTGAAAAGACTGACTTCACAGTTTTCAGTGATAAGTGGTAGAGGAAAGAAGTAATATAGATGCAAGTGTGGCAGGGGACTTCTAAGGGTCTTTTTCTGGAATGGCCATCATGCACCATATGACAGGGGGGTTACCTAAGGCCTTCAGTTTTCATTAGGGATTTAATTCAGTCCAAGACTCAAACCTGTATTAAACTTTATCCTACTCTGGCCCCGGTCACATGGCAAAGTTGCAGAGAGAGAGGCACGGGAGTCCTGCGGATCTTCCAGGTGCGATCTCACCCCAACATCTGGGAAGCACAGTGCTCCCGTGGCGAACCCGTGGCTCCCCGCCGAAAGTGCGGAGTTAAAAACTAGTACCTACGAGGTACTAGTTTCCTGAAACTGCGGGCCAAGGGCGAGCATCTGATCGTGTTCCTGGTGGACTTACGTGACATCCGGCGCCCGCCGCTGTTCGTCTCCGCAGGTTGCGCAACAGTGCCCAACAGCACATGCGCACAAAGAGCGATTGCTAGTGCGATCACGCTGCGCGGCTTCTGTGCAGGATACCCGTCTGATCGGCATTTTCCCCAAACCACGGGACCTCGACCGGGAGGTGTGCTCGAGCAGCAGCACATTAGTTTCCTCCAGGGCAATTAGCCACACCTCCCCCCCGCGATATCCGGCCCGTGTAACCGGGGCCCTTCATCCCATGGGACTGCTACCAAACACAATAATATTTGAACTGGTCCTGAAACTTTCCTGTAGAGGGATTTCTTTTAAGTGAGGGCTGCCATTCTTATATAGCAATCAGTAGCACATGCCTCTTCTTTTGATGATGCAGAGCACAACAAACGCAAAGCAAAACTCACATAAAGTCTTTAAAAGGAACGGAGGCAGTTCAAACGGAAGCAAAAGACTCGCTGCGGCGTGGGAGAATTGCTAGATAGCCTGAATACTGAGTTACGTAGTTACTTCATTTATACCCTACTTTTCTCCCCAATGGGGACCCAAAGCAGCCTAAACCATTTTCCTCCTCCATTTTATTCTCACAACAACCCTGTGAAGTAGAAGTGAAGGTTAGGCTGAGAGAGCATGACTGGCACAAGATCACCCTGTGAGTTTCCATGTCACAAGTAGGGATTCAAATCTGGGTCTTCAAGATCCTAGTCCAACACTTTTTTTGTGTGTTTTTGTGTATGTGGGCATGCAAGCGTGCCTGGAAGTCATTGGATGTTCAGAGAGGTGTCTTGCTATTGCCTGCTCCTGCGTCCTGGCCCTGGTATTCCTTGGAGGTCTCCCATCCAAGTACTTGCCAGAGTTGACCCTGCTGAGCTTCCAAGATCTGATGAGATCAGGCTTGCCTGGGCTATCTGGGTCAGGACCACACTCTTATCCACTACACCACACTGGCAGCTTTATGTGTTTATGTCATTTCAATATTGTAATTGTTAATTATTTTATTTGTAAGCAGTTTTGGTTACTTTTAAGTGGAAACACAGCAGGTAAATATTCGAAATAAATAATTTGATGCTGAAGGGAGGAAGCTTTTTAATATACTGTGTTTCCTACATAGAAAGTATGTAAAAAATGGACTTCTGGTTTAAGCGTTTCGCCGCTCAGATGCATCCCGTCTCGCTCTGATGGAGACACACCAAGACCCGGCTGATGGGAGGGGTCTGAGTTCATCCCGGACCTCCCTGGGGTCTCTGTAGGAGACCCCCAGCCTGGGGAGCTGAGGAGAGCCTCTTCCAAGGCGACGGCCAAGGAATTGAGGCTCACCTTCTTCCCCGAAAGGTACCAATGCTGTGGAGCCAGTATGCGTCGCAGAGACGACTGCCGGAGCAAGCCTCTGATGGAGACACACCAAGACCCGGCTGATGGGAGGGATCTGAGTTCATCCCGGACCTCCCTGGGGTCT